ATTAATTGTCAGAATTTCTAATTGTTTTCCTTTTTTGTCTGTGAACAAGTATTTTTAAAGTTACTATTCAACAAATATTTTATGTTCTGATAATAAATAATTTTGAATCTAAACTGATTGAAGTAAATGGACTGTTTTAAGTTCTTTATAAAGTTATTTCTTTCATTATTATAGTTTATTTGACTAATTTTTCAATGAAAACTTTAGATTTCATTTTCTCAACATTGCTGGATTGCAAGGTTGGTTAAGGGCATCAGCCTATCACTCTGGAAAACTAATATCAAATCATATGTGAGCAAATCCCCAGGAATTTTTCATTAGTGATCTGTCCTGAATATGTCAGGCTTCATACTTCACCAACCAACTACTGTGTGTGGCCCTGGTCAAATTCACAAAGACTATGGAAAAAAGGCTCTCTTACTATCCATAGGGCAGTGTGTTAAAAATGATTAAAAAAATAAATAATTAAGTAACATTGCACTGTCTTAATATAATAATAATAATAATAATAATAATAACAGCAGTTTTATATTTATTTCTATTAAATTATATAGATAAAAGTATTGAATAATTTATAGAAAATTAAGTTTTCTGATAATAAGAGTTAGTAGATGACACTTAGTCTTAAGTGTATAGTTTTTCAGTAATATGGTATTTAATACGAAACATTGGAACTTTTACTTCTCTTCAATGTTGTAAATATTTAACTAAATACTGCAGTGTATTCTTGCCAATTTAAACTAATTATTGTGCAGAGTAGTTTAGATTTGTGAAATATTCAAATTAGCAAGTTACACATAGAAGAAAAGAAAGTCAAAAACAAGTATAGACAATTCATAAAGACAACTTTAATTTTCATTAATCCATCATACATTTAATAAACTAACAAATGTTTATGACCTAACACCAGGTCTAAACTATGACAAAAAGATTGTACATTCTATTTTAGAATGTACAGGCATTCCATAACATATTTTAGAACATACTGTATAATCTTACTGTACATATGTTACCATTTAGACTCATGATGGCCTATAAATTAGGCCAAAAACATTTGTCAGTTCATTAAATTTATGTTGGATTAATGAAAATTAAGACTGTCTTTATGAATTGATCTAGTTCCAGTTTTTTGAGAAGTTTCTTACAATTATAGACAATTACATACATATTTAATTAAAACTTTTTACTGTATTTTATACACATGCTAATGTTAAAATACATAGTATATATGTTACAAATTTGTTATATTTTTAAAAAATAATCTGTTATTTTTTTCAGGTTTTGACTGGAATACTCAACTATAAATTGTCGAAAGTTAGTTGGGATTAAGTGGAGTATGGATCAATGAGAATGCATTGCATGTTAAATGTTTAAAATACCCATATTATTAATATAATAACAACAAATGCATAAAAACGTGATTGAGTAAAAAAACATATGATAACTTGAGAAAAATAGGTGATGATACTTCATTTCTCTCAAATTACTTTATTCAGGTTGCTGAAGAATTGAAAAAAAAAAAATCTGTTTTTATGAAAGGTTATGCTTAAAGAAATAAATAAAAAAGATCAATTCAAAATGATCATGTTTCCTGAATGAAATCATTTGGGAAAATTATTTTTTTTGATTGAAATTTACTAAATGAATGCTAATATTTGCATGTTAAAATAAACTGAATGATTGTGGACACCGACCTTTAACAGCCATTATCTATGCACGAAATGTACATGCTCTTCGTAACGACTTTCATCAGGCATACGTTCGATTTAATTTGAATATTCACATTCTAATTTTGTGTTCCATTAGTTATTTGGTGTATCTCACCTGAAGAAGAACTATTCAACAGTTTGAAAATGTTAGTGATAAACTTTATTATTCACAGAATGCACCAGTAACAGATTCCAGACAAGGTGTTCAGTTACATCCCCAGTGTTGAAGTGTTGTTTATGTTGATGTTTAAACTGAATAATGCAATTGTTGTTGTTAACCTATATTATAGTGTTACTTCAACAAAATTTGTAAATTTTAAAATAATATTCAATTATGTAGAAATCTCATTATCCATTTTATTCAGCAATATCTTTGATAAATGCATAATAGGATAACTGATAAATGCATTCAAAACATTACTTTGTTAAATTGAAAACATTATCACTCAATTATGAAATATTAAAAATTAAGAACTTCAATTGAATAATCATATTAAAATCATTAAAAATTCAATTAAATGTATTTATTTAAAACTGAATAATATAAAATATATTATATTTTAATTACTTACAGTTGTCTTATCAGATAACAATTTTTCAATTACTTCTATTAATTGATCTCTTTGTTCAGGATCCAAGCTAAAAATTGTCAAAAAAATTAAAATTTTTTTTATTTTTATAATATTTAATAACCAAACATATCTTGTGATTTTGTAATTTAACTTTTTTCAAATATACCTGTATAGCTTTGGAATAGCGTGAGCTGCAGTCTTACGTACATAAGGAGACATATCATTTACTGCATCTTTTATTGCAAGCATCATTATTGGTACAATAACAGGAACTCTAATGCTGGATAATACTCTTAGTGCACTTGCTCTTATCAATTGATTGGGGTCCTGTAAATTATTGGGGAATAATTTAACAAACCTCTAAACAAATAATAATTTCTTTCATTCGTAACAAAATAAACATCAACCCAATTCAATTGGTAATGCCAAACAAACTGCCAGATTATAAATTGGCTTTAACAAAGCTAATTTATTACTTAGATATAAAGAAATTTGGATATAGGTAGGTGGTTAAGCTGTCAACTAATTATAAATTTAATAATTAGATACAAGTTTAATTTTTAATGTAACTAGAATATTTTGGAAGAAAGAGTTGTCCAAAATGGAACTCCAACCCACAACTTCTCCTTAACATGCAGATATATTGTCTGTTACAGTATTCAGACCCCTTCCAATCTTTCCTTCCAGAGCTATTAATTGCTTAATAGCTCTGGAATTCCACTACTAATAGGTATTATTCTTATTACTAATGAATGCAAATTCTCTGAATAAAGTAGTTCTATTGTTAATTTGAATATTTAGAACTCGATGTAGAATAATTTGACAAATATCAATTTCATAAATACTAAATATTGCTCTTAAAATGTGAAATAAATTTTACTTTTTAAATAACAAAATATGAAAATAACTGCAAAATTATAAGATTACTAACCTTTAATGCTCTTTGGAATGTGCTAATCGATAAAAGAGCAAGATCTTGCTGCTCTTCAGCATAGCGAACTAAATACACATAAACCAATTTTTTAACCTGTGTAAGTACAAAATAAAATTTATAATTTTAATTATGAAATATCTTAAATTAATATCTTAAACCTTCAATTTAATAAACTTTTACCTCAATATTCTTAGAAACAACATTTTTCACTACGGCAGGAAATAATTCAGAAGCATCTTTACCTTTGGCAATCATCTGAAATGCATGAAATATTTCATTTTTTGTTCACAATTTATTCACCATGAATTAAAGTTATAAATAAAAATAAATCAAATTCAAAAAAGTTAATTTCATTTTGTCATGGTGTCAACAATCAAGAAGAGACCATGGAAACATAAAATATGTGGCATAATGTCATATTACAAAAGCAGGCAAGAGCCTCAAAATAAAGATTGATTCTACCATGGCCCTCTTCAGATTTCATTATTTGATCTCAAAGGTGTGAAAAAGAATAAAAAACAAAGACACTTTTCCTTTATTTTAGTGTTTCTTCTACATTTGCAAGAATTAACTGTAATTATCATCCTATAATTTCATTCTTAGTACCATCAAATTATATTATTTTTAAATTTAAAATGATGCAACATAAAAACACTAAAGTTGCATTTTAATTTCAATACTTGTATGTCCATTTAAATTCAAGAATGATTTTGCCATTGCCAACTGCTGCAGAATTAGATCATAAATTCTTAAAAACAATTTCATTGAATAAAAATTCTCAAATTAACTTACTTAAAACACAGTTTTGACAAAAATATATTAAATTATAACAATCTCTACTATAAAAACTAGTTATACTTAATAAAAACTCACTCAGATACCAATACCAGCTTAAAACTTCAAACGGTTTATTACATATGAATGTTTTCATTTAAAATGGACATCCTCTGTTTTAAATTAATGGTAAGTTAGAAGGAATGCAAATTACTAAAGCAGGTAAGTCATCAAGGAATGTAAACTGAAGAACAGAACAAATTCAAACAAAAAAAAGCATTCAGACAATAAAGACTCGCATGTGTGTAGTAATACAATCCCAAACTCAGTGTAAAAATGTAAAATTACAATATCTTTTGACAAAGACAAGGTGTAATTATTACAATTATATAGAGATCAAAAGTGAGTATTACAGGAGCTGAAACCATGCCATTTGCACTGTTGAGAGGGAATCAGATTTTGTAAAGTTCTAGTTCCCAATTGCTTTGTATACTTCAAAACCCTTCTGCAGTGCACATGGAGTTTGATTACACATGAGTGATATATTAGATGATGTATCTCTCAGCTCTGAAGTATTTACAGGATTTGGAAATATAGAAGGCCACTGAGAACCAGAAGGCAGTTAACTTTAAAAACTCTGATTTCCTCTCAGTAGCATGGCAGGCATGGCTTGAGTTCCTGTAGTACTCACTTTCAATCTATTTATTGTTGTTATAATACACCTCACCTTTTTAAAAGATATTGTAACTTTACATTTTTACCACAGAGTTTGAGACTGTACTATTGCACATGTGCAAGCTTCCACTTCATGGAAGCTTTTTATTTTCTGAATTTGTTCTATTTTTCAAATTTTTAGTTCCATTCTGCATTTTGCATTCCTTGTAACTTACCTGATTATGGCCACTTTAAATGGACAAAAACATTTGTATTAGTAAACTTGTTGATGTTTTAAGCTGGTATTGGTGTCTTAGGGAATTTTTACTGAAATTATATTTGTCATTAGCAAAAACATTTTTTATTTGATCTTAACATCAAACAGAACTTATACATCATATACAATAATCCTTTATTCAATACAGTTTAGTTAAAAAACTATAATTTAGTGATGTAACAAATATTTGGTTACTATTCGGTATTCAGACTATTTTTCACTATTCAGCCGAATACCGAATATTTAAATTACTATTCGGCTGAATACCGAATACCTAAAAAACAGGAGTAAGAAATAACAAAAACACAGTAAATTAATCATTTTGGTATTTAGATTTAATGTTATCGGGTTAATCTTGTTTGTTTATATTTATTTATAACTTATAACATGCACAAAATAAAAAAGAAAATAATATTAGTCACATGTATTCACAATTTATAATTACAAAGATCAGCACACGTACACACCTATTCATTCAAGAATAGTCACACATCCGAGAGTCTGTCCCTGCCTATCCTTCTTTTTAAGCCCTCGTCTTTTCTCTTCCCTTTCTTTTTCCTCTACCGCTCTAGTCCACATATGCCTATGCATAATACCCCGCTCACGATTCTTTCGATTCGTCACTTTTCCGTCCTAGAGTTCCCATTTTACAATTACGTGACTCATAGCCTGGTGATAATGGAGAAAAGAGACACATAGGACGTCGGAATAAGTCACAGTTATGATTTCACAGATTCCAGACATCATGGTAGCCCAAACAGTACTGGGCTTTCGCCCATGCACGCTAAGTGACTTTCATTTCAAGCATTTAGCTTTCTGAAGTCTATAAAAACAATTGTTTGGCATTGACAGCCGCAAATTTCGCACCAATAAGCTGCCTCAACTTGTTCGATTATGTTATCAACTGAATTTCATATTTATTTTCACATTTTTACTTCATGGTCCTTCTCTGTTCTTTTTCCGTTATTTACACATGTAGGTCATTTCATTGTTATCCACATTTGATATCATCATTTATCACATACTGCCATGATGCTCTTGTATGTCCGCTACAACTGCCAAGAATTAATGCGATTGGCAAAGCGTAGTGACAGAGGGCCAATAGAGAGCGGGATCCTTGCCATAATGCGGTTTGCGCGTCAATTTTCGTAGTGCGTTAATCAAGCTGAATAGTTTGGCCAAATATTTGGCTATTCGGCCACACTCCTGGCCGAATATACTATTTGTTGCAACACTACTATAATTCAAAAATATATATCCTCAAAAAAATCAACACATTAAAAATAGTAGGAAAACACTCACTTGCTACCACACTATATCCATTTAATTTCTACACTCTCAGACATTCATACATTATTAAGGGTATGTTCGTAAAGTCAAATGAGTTAAACGTGTTAGTAACAAATCGTTCGAAAAGTAGTAGTCTCACTTAGTGTGCATGCTCTGCAATGACGACGTTTTGAATGAAACTCTAACGACATTCACGAAGGAGAGAGTTAGTTTACTTTGTTAAGAAAATGGCACCTGATGATATCGATGTTTCTAAAGCTACTCGAGTGTTTAAATTAATTAAATTGTGAATTAAAAGGTAAAATGATTGAAATAACTGTCCACTCAAAGCAATCTAAGAAAAATATTTCGGATAAGGCTGCACTAGCAACATTCATATCTTCAATTTTAGAAACATTTATTTAGTTATAGACAAATCGTTTGAAAAGTCCAACAAAATAAGAATAACGATGACGTCATTCTTGTTTAACTCATTAGATTTTATAAATGTACCCTAATTCACAAGCCTCTGTATCCTTATTGTATAGATTAGTATGTAAAATGTCTACAAAGGACTTATTTTATTAACAGTTTATAATAGAATATAAATTAATACATCGTTTATTACTTTAAAAATACAAAATACATCTGAACATTTTTTAACTCACATAAATATCTTAAAGGATTCTGAAATAAACTTTCTAAAAATTATTCCAAAATATTTGAATAATTTTCAGAATATTTAGTTTAGAACTTGAGAATGGACATATGAATTTTAATACATTTGAGAGTACAGTGAAACTTCCATTAATGGACATTTTACAATCCCCAGACCCTTCAAATAAGACATCCATTATATTTACCTCTAAATAGCAGACAAATTTCTGTCTTGTTGGTGTCCACTATTCAGAGGTTAAACTGTATTTATTTTCATTTATTCTTAAGCCTTTGTGTCCTTATTATACAATTTTATTATTTAAATGTCTACAAGGACAGATCGTATTACAGGACTTATTATACTGGTGTCCAAGTCCTGCAAAATGAGGAAACTGTAGTATCCAGAGGAAAAAGGAAAAATCTTTATTGTTTGCCTGATTTTTCCTTTTTTTCTCTGGATACATTTCCTCATTTTACAGGACTTGGACACCAGTATAATAAGTCCTGTAATACGATCTGTCCTTGTAGACATTTAAATAATAAAATTGTATTTATTTTCAATTCACATTCATAAATATAAACAAATGTAACTAATAAAAAAGTTATATTTAATACTTACACCAATAATTCTTTTCATTGCTTCTAATTTTAACCCATCTTTATTGCTATCTAACATATTTTTTAGATCTTCATGCCTGAAAAAATAATTTTATATCTATTTTAAAAACACTTCTGACAATAATTATTATAAAATGATAAGAGAGTAACGAAATTTATTATTATTTTAAATTATTCTATTTTGGAGGACTGAACTGTTCTCCCATGCTTATTATGGGTTCAGTTAGAGCTGCAATGGAAGTAACTAAGTAATGAGGAATGAGACCTGACACCCACCATATGAAAATTCCTGAGCCCACAAGACTTTAATCTGAAGACCTGCTGCTTTTATCCAACCATTAACAATTATTGGTTAATATTTTACTGTTAAGTCATGTAAAGATACATGCACACACATTCAAACTTCAATGTAGCATCTCCCAAATGTGAAAAGATCTTCCTCATAAATATAAAATAGTACTCTTGGTATCTCTAAATTATTAAATATTTCATTTTGCATTACAAACAATGTTATCATTATCAAAATCATGACATTAAACTATTAAATTTAAATGTGTGTGTAATTATTACATATAGTTTTTGTTTGAAATTTTTCATTTTAGTAAAATGCTTCATTTAATGCCAATTTGAAAAGTGAACAAATATAAACACTAAACCAAAATCTGATTTTATATCATTTTCATATAATAGCATATAATCAATATTTTCTTGAAGTATAGAGTATAATATCAAACTTGATGTAATTCATAAAATAACTGCTTCAGTAGATCACTCACTCAAGTGTGCATACAACCTTGTACAGCATTTTTGCTGTTGTTTAAGTTATATATAACTGATTGAGTAAAATTGATATCTAACAAAGCTGAAGTTCTGTATCTAATTTTTATTTTTAAAAGAATCAAAGCTGAAAGAGAGTTTCAATCACACAAAGCACACCATTGAGCAATTTTCCAGCAATGTTTCTTCTTGACAAACATTTTCAGCTCCATTAATAAGCCTGCCTCAGATCTACCAAAGATTCCTATCTTCAGTGTTCTAAATTGGAATGTCAGCTTGTGAAATAATATGATTTCTATAGATTTTACATTTTGAAAATAATATAACCACCAGATTTTTCTGAGTCTGTATTTTCTAACTTCCTAAGTATGCAATGTTTCATGTTGTGATTCAATGTTTTTAACAGTATGTTTCATATGCTATAATATATTGTGGGCCCTATGTTGACAATTCTTATTCAGGTTAACATAAAACAATCTCTAGACCACAGATAAGGCTATTTTTAGTTAATGCTTTAGTTTGGCTTATCCTTTTAAAAAACTTTATATACCATTGAAACTATGAATTTTTGACAGATCTGACATGCTTATCAAAGGACCAAAAATATTTGTCAATAAGAAAAATGAGAAATGACACATTGTCAAAAAATTCAGCAATGAGTTGCTTAACTTTCCTGAAAACATTTAAAACTGCATGTGTAGCACCATCTGTTCTGATATTTAAAAAAAAACTTTTTATATTTTTAAATATTACAAAATGGCAAAAAGCTTAATTTTCAGGGTGAGGATAGGTTTTATAAAAAAAAACTAGCTGTGCCTGCAGTTTCTCCCTCGTGAAATTCAGTTTGTGACTATAACAGTATCAGTAAGAAATCAATATACAAAATTTTATCACTCTCCCAAAGTAAGTATTTTTATTCAAAAAAATCACATAAATTTTCATTATTAATTTTTTTAACATGTACATGAAAGTCGCAGAAAATTTTTTTAGTGTTTTTTGTATTTTTAATATTTTCCTTGTATATATTTTTATTTTATTTTGTATTTTTTATATTTGTTTGTAATTTTTTGTGCGATTTTTTTTAATAATGTAGTTGTTTTTTTTGCGATTATATATTCCACTGTTTTGTATTTTGTAATTTCTGTTATCTGTGGGAGATGTATTTAAATTTATTAATGACTTAGAGCTTCTCTGTACACAATGTTTGAAGTTGCGTTTTTTTTTGGTAGCAAAATATACTGTTTCTCTGGAGTTCCAACTTGTGATAAACCAACATATAGTTAGCCATCAGAAAAACACTCTTTTCGTAGGTTGATTCCAACCAAAGAGATGGTCTGGGACTTATTAATAGTCATCACAAACAATGTTTTCACAGGAAATTGCAACCATTTGAAAGATATCGGGAAGTCCGTGGGAATCATTGGAATCCTCAGGATGTTTGCCAGCTGGCCGACTGCAGGGCCAGTGAGGATGGTTGCCACAATTAAGTTGTCTTTTAAGTCTTTAATTAGTAGCTTTGTGTTATTGCACATGTTAGGAGGGCTTAAATTTCTTAAAAGCATGATTTTAATGGTAGTTTGTGAGATGGCAAGCTAGAAGGATTAATCGAATTTAAAAATTCTTGTGCATAGTGGACTGCATCCTCGATATTGATGACTGTATCGATCGACTTAGTTTTTGATTTGGCTGGGGACTTTTTGTATAATTGGATTGTTGATTTCATTGACAGTGTCATTCCTATGCAATAGTATTGCCCTTGAACACAGCTACTGAAAGTCTCTTTCGAGTAAATTTTTGAGGCCAAAATATACTGCATCTGTAAGATGCTGCAGACTGTGGACTATCCAACCTAGTCTCTCCTTTAGAACGATGTCAGCACAGTTAATGCTCAAATTTGGAAAAGGAAAAACTCCTTCCCCAAGTTTGAGCAGTTGTTGTGGAAAGTCATTATGCGAGTCTCCACTAAGATAGACCCTCATGTTAGTTCACAAGTTCAGGTTTTGAACAGAACTTCATAAGGGAGATGATTTAAGGCATGCTTTGATGACATCTGCATGTGTCCCTTTTGAAACTACAGGGAGTGTCTGCCAAAAATCACTAGCAAACACAAAAGTAACTCCCCCATAATGACGCTCAAGTTTCTAAGGACCTTTAACATTCGGTCCACAGCTTCAACATGGGCTCTGTGACTCATGATACATTCGTCCCACATTATCAGTGACACATCCTGTAACAATTTGCCAAGAGGCCTGTTTTTGTGTATGGAACATATGGATTGTTGCTCCAGAGATACTGATAATGGGAGTTTCAATGTGGAATGTGCAGTTTTCCCATTGCTCAATAGAGTAGCAGTAATCCCTGAAGAAGTGACTGCCATGCTATTTTTCCAGATTGCCTTACCTGTGCTAGTAATAAATTGGTGAATGTCTTTCCCGTGCCTCCTGGGGCATCCAAAAAAAAATATTTTGCCTCTATTATTCATCACACTGTCAATTATTGTATCAAATGCCTGTAATTGATCTGTGACTAATTTTGGCAAATTTTCATTGACAAAATCTGTCAACTCACTAACATTGTAATGATTATGTGCTCTAGTCATAGATATCTGTTGTCTTTCTGCAGCTAGGCACTGGGAGCGTTTGGTGCTAGATTCCCTAGCACGGGCCTGCAATGTTCTTATATTTTTGCAAGCAAGTTGCTGTGAGCGTTCAGTACTGAACTCCCTAGTATACGCTTGTGATATGCACTCTCTATGACTCACGAGATGCTGCATAGTTTCAGGGGAGGACTCTTCCGCTCAGCATATTTTAGCTGCTCTTGTCTGAGATGTTTGCCGTGAAAGTTGTGATTTTCTTTAAGGCATGGTGTTGTTATTATACAGTAATTGATAATCAATTAAATACAATGAAATAGAAGAGAAGTATGGTTCCAAAAATTACTTTACAATATATAATTGTATGCGAATATTTAAGTGGTATTATGTGGTAAAATACAATAAATGAAATGAGGATAAATGCCACCTGATGACACTAAAAATATAATACTTACCTAGATGATATCTTTTAATTTATATGAATGTTTTAGGAATGCATATAAAACAAAAGATATTCGTTATTTTAAGTGACAACAAATAAGCAAATGTTCAGCACAAGTTCAGACACACACACTGCGTATCTCGCTGACCATGAAACTGCACTGTGCAGTTACCTATCTCGTATACGTACGAGTCTTTCCCCTCGCCACCTGCTGACACTAAAAATATAATGCTTACCTAGATATCTTTTAATTTATATGAATGTTTAACGGAATAATATACAGCCTATGTCCACCCTGAAGTTCCATTCTAAATATTGGTGAAAGAATTTTTGAAATCGAATGAGTAGTTTCAGAGATTACCTCATACATTCAAACTTTACCTCTTTATAATATCAGTATCAATTGTAAATGCTAATAATGAGTAAAATTATCATTAAGTTTGACCGTACTGGAGATACACACGACTCCCTTTATTCCCCATCCCCTTGACATTTAATCACCAAAATTTAATACAGTAGAGCCTCGAAAACTCGGCCTAATGTGGACTGAAGGGTGGCCGAGTTTGTGAAAATGCCAGGTTATCAGGAATGGGGTTAAAAAAAATAAGTACGAGTGTTTCCTCAGAAAATACTGTACTGTACTTGTATGTATTGTTTACTTGAGAATATAACAGAGAATGAACTGCCCAAATACACTTAAACAAAGGAAAAGTACGTCCATTATGAAGGCATAGAGCCTTTACTACATGAAAATGAAAATTAATGAACACACTGTGTACAGTAATTTACCTGATAAGACAGACCTCAGAAAAATACTTTATGAGGCATAAAGCTGTCTTTATCATGAAAATTAATTAACTAAGGATTTTTTTGCCCTGCCAGGGTGTGGCCGAGTTATCCGGAATGCTGAGTTATCGAGTGCCAAGTTTTCAAGGCTCTACTGTACCATCAATTCTCATAATAAACAAATGTCCCTGAAAAATTTCAGAAAGTTTTGATAAAGGCACAGGAGTTATTAAGCATCAAACAAGGTGAATAAAATTGTGACACACACACACACACAAACAAACAAACAAACATCCATAGAAACAGAAAAAAATCCCCAAACTTTTTGCATTTCTTGACATTTCAAGGTATCCTGAGCCCAAAAATGTAAAAATCTTTGGGGGCATTTTTTGACCAATTGCCACACTTTCTCTCTGTTATATACAACAGACAGAAATGTAAAAATGAAACCAAATTCTACTCATTAATATAAAACATTA